CACACACATATATAAATATACATAAACTACTGCAGTGAGTCTGCTGGAGCCAAATAACAGATGGACAGTGAGGTCAAAAATGGTGTGAACAAGGGGATAAAAGAGATTTAGAGAACAGATGGGCATAGTTCACTGACGGCAAGAGTAAGGAAGCACACACATACAGTACATGTCAAGCAAAACATTACATACAATGAGGGAATTTCGGCTAAAATTCTTTTTAACCGGATTGGACACAGACTTCAAAGATTTTTTTTTCTCTTGTCAAAGTGTCAGCATAAAAAAAGCCTACGTTTTATCGGCAATGTATGCAGCTGTGATAAAATGTAGAAAAACAGACAATTATTTCTTTCAAATTCATCTCACACACACACACACACACACACACACACACACACACACACAGTCATCCTTGGTGGTTCAATTTATCAATAAGTGACACTGCACAAAATCCTACAAAAAGCACATGCATAATATTATATTATATACCATCATAAAAATCTATGGAAGTATAAAAGCAGCGCTGGCTGCAGGAGGTTGTTTGGGGGCACTGAATAAGATGAATGCTGAGTCACTGCACTACGGCTCCAGCAGCAGGCGGACAGGAAGTAGGTAGGTATCATGGGAGCCTGCTGAGGAGAACAGGACTCTGGCATCTGCTACTACACCAGACGGAAAAAAGGAGACATGAGAGAGGGCAGAAGAGGGAACGGAAAGAATGAAAGGAGAAGAGGAGGAAACAATTAAGGGCAGGAAAGGAGGAAAGGGTGAAAAGGGGGTGAAAGAGAAATGAATAAAAGGGGGAATAATGTAGAAAGGATAGGTCAGGGAGGGGGGTAGGGGAAAGGAGAAGAAGAGGTGGGGAGAGGAAAACAAGGGGAATACAATAGGAAAGTAGCCCGTCGAAGGACAGAAGGACACATATACCTGCTCTCAAAGCTTCTCAGCCTGACTCAGCATAACCTGAAGTCACTTCAACACTGCCCTTTATTGCTGACTCAGCCTGTTGTTGGATGGGCCCCAGGGACCCTACTGTCACAGCTGAAACCCTCTACAACAATATCTTTCACAACACCTACTCTTGCTAGGGCAACGCACCACATGAAACCTAAAGCTGATTAACGTGATGAAGTACCTGCAATGGTTAGGTATCTCACTGAATTAGCCAAACAGACATTCCTGAGTGGTTATTTTATCAGTCATTCCGTAATAAATCTTTTTCACAGCAGAAAATGTGACTTCACATAGTAGGAAAAGCACAGGTGTTATTAGTAACATTAATGACAGCTCTGATCTATTTAAAGAGAAATCCACAAATGTAGGATTGCATTCCTGTAACATTTTCACACTTATTGCCAGTTTTTAAATTTAAAAAATTTAAAAAGGATAAATAAAAACTGATGCAACAGGACCTGAGATCAGAGTCAACACATTCTTCACACACAGCATGTTCATTTTAGCCATCATTCATTTCATTATTATACACTTGTGCTTTTCTACAGTCACATATAAAATACCACCACTGGGGCGCCCGGTTAGCTCAGTGGGTAGAGCTGGCGACCCATATACTGTGGCTGGGGTCGAATCCGACCTGTGGCCCTTTGCGTGTCATCCCCTCTCTTTGCCCCCCTTTCCTGTCTGTCTTTGGTTGTCACTATCATAAACGGCAATAAAAAGCCCCAAAAATAACCTGCTAAAAAAATAACACCACCACCTTTTTATTTGCAGAAAATTTTACTTTCGTGATAGAAAATGATACAAGATTCTATATTGCCCACCCATAATCAAAAGTGTGGCATATCAATAATAAAAATATGTTGTTTGACCAAAAATTTTTTTTATTAAAAATTGAAAGGACTTTGTGCCTTGTCCAAATCTCCCTACAGTGGTTCTGTCCAGGTAAAGTCAATTGTATTTTGATAGCTGAAAATGACAAGTTAGCCTCAAAGGGCTTTACAGTCTTCACAATATACGACACCTTGTATCTTCACAACCTATGAGTGTCCCTACATGCCACACGAACAGAAATGTTTTCCAGAAGCTATTACAGTGCACAGCGTTCCAATTAGCTTCTAACAACATGCCTTTGGTTTTAGAAGTCGAGGTTAATGGGAGTGTGAAACACACATGCCCTAAGATTTGTAACAACACCATGACAGTGCTGGGTGTCAGTGAGAGAGAGAGTGAGTGAAAGTGTGTGTGAGAGAGAAAATACAGGAATGCTGGATTGTGTCGGAGAGGCATCAAATGAATCAGCTCGTTTCCCCTGCTACCTTGAGGGCTAGACAGTCTGACAGGCCAGCAAATAAGGATGACTCACACACGCGCACACACACACACACACACACACACACAGGTGGGCACACATACACAGGGTGATGGATTATCCCCACCGTAAAACATGCTTTGTAGCTTCCAATTGCCCTGAAAGGAAACCTCTCATGCTCTCTCAGATTCTTCTTCCCTTTTCGCAAATACTCTCTCACTTACACAACTCATTCTTTCATGCTCTCTCCCTCCCTCCCTCTCACACACACACACACACACACACGTCTCTTTTCCTTGGCCCTCTTATTTCTGCCTTCTAAACTGCATTGACAAACACAGCCCTGCAGCCACCAACCTGTGACTCATCCCTGTAGCCTTTCTGAGTGTGTCAGGATGCTCACGCAGACACAAGCATGTCTGCACACTTACAGCCATGAACACATGCATGCACATCAGGTTTACATTCCAATCTGTCTGTCTTTTGTAAAGACGAGACTCCAGTGCTGAGGGGTTTCCAGATCTTGTGCAGCTGATATCTGAACAACCTTCAAAAGATAAAAGCTCCTTTGATCCGACAAGTGATAGTAGGCCCGGACACATACACATACAAGCAGCCTGTTACATGAACTTTGTCACCAGAGCAGGGTGAAGCTGACCTGGCACTGATGACAGAGTGGACAAAGCTATAGTCTTTTGGAGGTTTTCAACTGATGCCACCTATTGTTGTTGAGCCAGAATGAAATAAAACAAACTCAACATGTTTGACACTGATTAGGCACTAAGATGCCTGCACAGAAACAGAGAACTATTGCCCACTTCTTGATTGGTGGCTTGTTTAGGAAATATCAGCATTAAAATGTTTGTTTCCCACAAACAGCTCACAATCATGAACAGTGTAAAAATGAAAAGCTTGTATGAAAAGATGCTTACTAAAGAATAAATATCATGTTAATGTAAAAGCAAGCATACTACCAGGCAGTTTAATATTTTACAAGTTATAAACAGAAGAAAGTAAAGGAAGGAGGTGAACAAGGGGCGACTGTTTCCTCCTTCTGTAACAGTGTTCTCAGGAAAAAGCAGGAGATGTTTTCCCCAAGGTCCTACCACGATGCACACTGACATTAAGACTGAAGAACAAAACTGTGTGTGTATGCGTGTAACAAGATCAGCATGTGTGCCCCTGAAGGTTAAGTGTAGGCTGAAAGAGTTACCAGAGTTTGAGCGACTGTGTGCCGAGTGGTCCCTAGTGCACCTCTGCATTATTAGCTTCTGCTTGAGAACCACTGCTTTGTGTGTGTGTGTGTGTTGTGTGTGTGTGTGTGTGTGTGTGTGTGTGTGTGTGCTGTGCGTGGATGCTTGTGTGTGGTGTGTGTGTGTGTGTGTTACCTGCTTTGGGTCCGTGGTGGCTCTCGTCCAACACCAGACTGTTCATACATTTAAGCTCCCAGTCTTGGACCTCGGTATTCCACAGGGCAGGGACCAACACGGTGTACTGGGCCCTGCAGTGGGAAGTGGGGTTGGAGCATAGAGACAGGGTGGGAACAAAGAGGGGAGTCATTTGAAATTAGTGCCAATTTCACAACCTAAAAATAAGAGCTGAACAACATTTGAATGCTACCTGGAACTGGATGAAGGAAAAGCATGAAGAGACAGGTATATAAATACTGGAAACATTCAACATTTTGTTATTCCTGAATTGAAGAACTTAAGTTTAGTCTTTTAACTTGATGCTAACAACACATAATGGGAATTTCCGTTAACACGCTAATTAAAATGAGCATTGTAATATTATCTTAACAAACGATCCCTGTTACTTCACATGATTAACATAAAATGACATGTGTGCTCATACTTAGAGGCATATATATCCTACGCCCTGTGCAAAAGAACTAATAGCTGCTGACTTCCTATTTCTAACTCTGCTACTTTACCACTAGGTGGAGACATTACATATCAAGAGAGGGCAGCTCGTACAGTGTACGCGTATATTTATATTTTCTTTACTTTTTTTGTTATTAAATTACAGCGAAGAGCATTGTCTGTGGATTTTGTCCCCCATCACTGACATTGGAATAGCATTAGAAGGAACCTCTTAATGGCCAGTCTGAACAGGAGTAATTGTTACACAAAGAAAACTGCTTCCATGGTCACACAGCTACCGCAGTATTGTTTTAAGTCACTGAAAACCTGTGAACCTATCCTTTAACCCCGTTTCTGTATTAATCAAAGTGTGGACATGCAGGTGCATATAATTCAACATTAATGTGAGGTGAGAATGATGGAGGATCAGAGAAACTGATGAGGAAGAGAAGACAGAGAGAGAAGGGAGAGAAGGTGATAAAAGAGTGACATGTAATTGAAGATGGATCACCTGGTTAAGCTCAAGTATAATCCCAGTATATAATGATAAATGGTTGTAGACAAGCAATAGATAGAGCGCTTGGGAGAAAATGAAAAGAGTAATCGTGGGAGAAGAAGAATGAATGATGTGTACAGGTTTCCTGTCCCAGCAAGTAATTCACAGATGGTGATGTGCTACTGATCAAAATCCAACACACAGTAAACCATTGGTTAGCACACTGCATTACGAACACTGTACACTGTACACTGTATTTAAATGACACTGATTTTTAATGGTTGTGATGGCTCGGATATGAATCATAATGAAGAAATGATCTTTACACCTTTGTACTTAAACACATGCTAAAACTAAACTCATATAGAAACATCAGTTTAACACCAATTTGATCAACTCAAGTTAGCAAGTCGGATGAAGACGTGACCCCTTAAGCACTGAATCCCTACAAGTTGATAGGTGATCACACTCAAGGTACATCTAGCCTTTTCTCTTAATGGAAGACTAAAGGCTAAAACACACTGTCGCGGAATGACACTAAGCAGTCCCTTATGGTAGACATTTTATATAGCACGATCAATTATTGTATGAAAAAAGGTGGGCTTATTTACCACAACTTTGGTACTTCTTACTTTGAACTGTTGGGTCTCTGTAAATAATGTTATAAAGGAGTTCGGTCTACACCTGCTTTATTTTAAAAGTGTCCTGAGATAACTTCTGTTATGAATTATCGCTATACAAATAAATCTGAATTGAATTAAGAAGCCTGCCAGGTTTTTGATCTGTTCCTGTTTGAGTGGTCATGTCTTTATGTGATATCACCCTCGTCAAAACAGCTATGAATGGAGAGAGCTATGATGCTGGAAGGAAACAATGCAAATATTTTAACTAGAGCTGGACAATTAGATAAATAATTCATTAGCTGGTCAAAAGAAAATAAATCACAAACTTTTTTTTATAATCCATTAAGTGTTTAAATAAAATAAAAAAAAATGATTGGCCGAGCCAATATACTGGCCATTATTAACATTTACAGACATATATTGGTGTATATGTCAAAAAGTAAGTAACAAGAAAATTGGTGCATACATCAAGATTGTTTTTTTTAAGTGTTCAAGTTTAAAAAAAAAAAATGGATATATTGTTATCAGATTTTTGTTATCACAGTCCATCAGTAACGGTATCAGTCTGGCAAATTCTGTTATTGGTCTAGCTATACTTAAGCTTTCTTCTATTTTCTTTAGCATGCAGTGGTCTGTAAACCTGGCCATACCTGGATTATTTTTTTATTTGTTTGTGCACTTGTTTTCCATGTTTTGTACCATGGGATTACTTTCTGAGGCATTTTAAATCTCAACAGTACCAAAGCCAATGTTCTGTGTATGTGTACACAGCCCAGTGGAGAGCATGATATGATATACATGTGTGTCTCTGAGGGAAATTGACAGCAAATTTCTAGACTGGATGTGCCAAACCCTTAATATGCGTGTGGTAGGGTTACTTACAAGATGTTGTCTAATGATTGCTTAGAGAAAGACATTTTGATTTTTGTTTAAATGGGAAGAAAAAAATCTGAAATGCTTATCATGTCAATAGAATGATCAACACAAGCAAAAGGGACCCACGGTGTGATCCTCAGTCTGAATGCATTTGGGAATTTTAAAATGGCTGAAAGAGAAGGGGAAAAAAACTATAGCAGAGACTTTATTGAAGCCAGCCTTGTCAGTGTGAAGTAAACAAATGATGTGTCAACCCCTCTAGCTGAGCGAGGGTGTCAGTGTGTCAATGAGGATAAATGAATGAATGAAAAGAGGCATATAGAAGGAGAGGGAGTGCAGAAAAGAAAATGAGAACACAGGGGAGGAGGGACAGCCCAGGGAGGTTTATGGGAATTGACTATTGTGAAGGAGGAGGTAAACAAAAGAGAAAGAGATAGGACTGGTGGAGGGCACTAAGACACAGTGTGTATAGGGAGTGAGTAGGAGAGGGTATAGAGGGGGAGACAGAGAGAGACAGGACTGGGTACAGGAGATATGGACACTAAAGGAGAGACAATGAAAAGTAAAGCGGGAGGAAAATAGTACAAAGTCAGTAGAGGGGTGGTGGATGTTGCAAGTTGTGTGGGAACTCATTTGTTATAATTTACCGTAATACAATAATTAAGTTTAATTATGGTCTGTATCTTCATTATCACCTTTAAAATCTCTAATGTGACAGTTATTTCCAAGGTTTACCATCACACTTTAAATGGCCAATAAAAAACAAGATTATCTGAAAAACAAAACAGATATTTTAGGTTTGAATTTTACGACTAAATTAGATGATTGTTCGGCCCCAGAGCACCAGATTAAATGACATCACCACAAACATTGTGTTCAAGCCAGATGGTAGGCAAACAAACAGTAATGAGAGATTTATAGCCAGTGCAGAATTATGAGGAATGTAATTTTATCTAATGATTTTTTTCTTTCATTGTCTGTCAGAGAATAATATGCATATTTTATTTTATAACAAAGGGACGTAATGGTCAGAAAAAGAACGATGCTAATGTGGTAGCTCATTCTACTATAAATGATGTTTATGAAAAGAGAAGGGATGAGAGGCCAGAGATGGAGCAGGTGAAAAGGTACTTTATTATTATTATTATTATTATTATTATTATTATTATTATTAAACTGAGGCAACCAAATATGAAACAAGACTAAGAGTCTACAGTCATGCTAGTGGCTCTGTGAGCATGGCAACACAGCTCACAATGACAATGCTAACATGCTGATGTATGGCAGGTAATGTTTCCCATTTTCACCACTTTAGTGCTTTTGCATACTAACATTTGCTAATAAGCGCTAAACACAAAGTACAAGCTAAAGACGTTTAAAAACATTTTGCAGGTATTTGGACAAATTGACATTCTGACCTAATGATGGCGCTGGAATAACAGTTAGGGGA